AAAAAAAAAGGGAAATGAATTGGGAAATTAAAATAAATGTGAAAAAAAATTAGAAAAATTAGATTAAATTGAATTGAAGAATTGGAAATTAGATTAAAAAAAGAGGAATTAAAAATTAAAAAAAAAGGGAAATGAATTGGGAAATTAAAATAAATGTGAAAAAAAATTAGAAAAATTAGATTAAATTGAATTGAAGAATTGGAAATTAGATTTAAAAAAGAGAAATTAAAAATTAAAAAAAAAAGGGAAATGAATTGGGAAATTAAAATAAATGTGAAAAAAAATTAGAAAAATTAGATTAAATTGAATTGAAGAATTGGAAATTAGATTTAAAAAAGAGAAATTAAAAATTAAAAAAAAAAGGGAAATGAATTGGGAAATTAAAATAAATGTGAAAAAAAATTAGAAAAATTAGATTAAATTGAATTGAAGAATTGAAAATTAGATTAAAAAAAGAGAAATTAAAAAAAAAAAGGAACGAATTTGGAAATTAAAATTAAAATAAATGTGAAAAAAAAATAGAAAAATTAGATAAAATTGGAGAATTGAAAATTAGATTTAAAAAAGAGAAATTTAAAAAAATGGGAATGAATTGGGAAATTAAAATTAAAATGAATGTGAAAAAAAAATTGAAAAATTAGATTAAATTGAATTGAAGAATTGAAAATTAGATTAAAAAAAGAGAAATAAAAAAAAAAAAAGGAATGAATTGGGAAATTAAAATAAATATAAAAGAAAATAGAAAAATTAGATTAAATTGAATTGAAGAATTGAAAATTAGATTAAAAAAAGAGAAATAAAAAAAAAAAAAGGAATGAATTGGGAAATTAAAATAAATATAAAAGAAAATAGAAAAATTAGATAAAATTGAATTGAAGAATTGGAAATTAGATTAAAAAAAGAGGAATTAAAAATTAAAAAAAAAGGGAAATGAATTGGGAAATTAAAATAAATGTGAAAAAAAATTAGAAAAATTAGATTAAATTGAATTGAAGAATTGGAAATTAGATTAAAAAAAGAGAAATTAAAAAAAAGGGAATGAATTGGGAAATTAAAATTAAAATAAATATAAAAGAAAATAGAAAAATTAGATTAAATTGAATTGGAGAATTGAAAATTAGATTAAAAAAAGAGAAATTAAAAAAAAGGGAAATGAATTGGGAAATTAAAATTAAAATAAATATAAAAGAAAATAGAAAAATTAGATTAAATTGAATTGGAGAATTGAAAATTAGATTAAAAAAAGAGAAATTAAATTGGGAATTTATAAAAAAAATGAAATTTTAAAAAATTAAGGTAGGGAAATTAAATGTTAGAAATTAAATTTAAAAAAGGAATTGAATTTTAAAAAATAAATTAAATTTTAAAAAGAATTAAATTAAAAAAGAAATTGAATTTAAAATAAATTAAATTTTAAAAAGAATTAAATTAAAAATTTTAAAAGGAAAGGGGATTTAAAAAACTAAAAAATATTAGATTATTAAAAATTAAATTAAAAGATTGAACGGAAAAAATTAAATTTAAAAAAGAAATTAAATTTTAAAAAAGAAATTAAATTGTAAATTAAAAAAGGGGAACTTAAAATACTAAAAGTTAGACTAATAAAAATCAAATTTAAAAATTAATTTTTAAAAATTAAAAAATTAAATTAAAAATAATTACAATTTTAAAAAAAGAAATTAAATTGGAAATATAAAAATAATTAAATTGGAGATTTGAAAACAATTAAGTAAAAAAGAAAGAAATTAAATAAAATAAATAAATTATATTGGAAATTTAAAATATTAAATTGGAAATTTAAAAAGCCCAACAAAATATTAAAAAAATTAAATTTAAAAAAGGAGATGAAATTGTAAATGAAAAAATCAAATAGAAAATAATAAATAATTAAATAACAATGAATAATTAAAGGATAAATAATAATGATTTAATAATAATAATTTAATAATAAGAAATAAAAAGAAATAATAAAAAGAAATAATAAAAAGAAATAATAAGAAATAAATAAATAAAACAATAAATAAATCATACCATAAATAAATAATGAAATAAATAAAACATTAATTAACAATAATAATAATTAACAATCAAAACCAAACAGAACAATTCAAAACCAACCAACCAACAAAACCCAAACCAAGGCGAAGCAGAATTTCCCCTTCTGGCCCCACCCGCGGTGTTTTTGAGGGGGGGGATTTTTGGGGGG